GACTTCTCGCTAGAAACCATGAAAGCAAGAAGAAAGTGGAATAAGATATTTAAAGTATCAAAATTTAAAACAATACCCACTAACCTAAAATTTGATATATGGTACAATTATCCTATAAAAGTGAAAGAAAGAAAGACCTTCTTAGAGAAAGGAAAAGTTGAAGAACTTCATTGCCAGCTGACCCATGTTAACAAAAGACAGATGGAATCTGCAAAGGCAATAGGAGAAGTCTGCAGATTGGGCAGATAAAGCCTTAAGTGCAAAACGAAAGTGCACTCTGAGGAGGACTTCAGGGGTAAAGGATTAGAAAATATTATAAAGGCAAAAACTGTAATATTGGAAGCAATCAAGTGCAGAGTCTGAATTGAATGGCGTTTAAGGAAGACATTACATGCTTCGCTTTCTTCAGGTGGTCTGTGGGTGGTTAGTTGAGGAATTTCTAGCTGCAGTCTATCTTGGTACCTATGACAGCAGCTGGTTTGGCGTGATTGCAGAAAGGGAGGTTCTGTGATACCTTTTCAACATTGTATTGGTTTGTTCTCACACTACTATAAAGAAATAACTGAGACTGGGTAATTTATAACGAAATGAGGTTTAATTGGCTTACGGTTCTGTAGGTTGTACAGGAAGCATGAGGCTGGCATCTGCTTGGCTTCTGAGGAGGTCTCAGGAAACTTACAATTATGGTGGAAGGCAAAGGGGGAACAGATACGTCTTATATGGCAAGAGCAGAAACAATAGAGAGATGGGGGAGGTGCCACACACTTTTAAACAACTGGATCTCATGAGAACTTACTATCAGAATGACGGTACCAAGGGGGATGGTGCTAAAACATTCATGGGAACTTCACCCCTGTGATCCAATCACCTTCCACCAAGCCCCACCTCCAACACTGGGGATTGCAATTTGACATGAGATACAGTGGGGAAACAGATCCAAACCGTAGCAAAATTTTTTTCAAGAATACAGTATGTGACTGCACCTTCACCCAGCCATGGTTGCCTGGTTCTGTTTTAACTTTGAGTACTCAGCCACAGGGAGTCCATTTTGTCAGTTGTGGACATAATTTAACACCTGCATTACCAGAAATGTTGAAAGATTTTCTTGAGGCAGAAAAATAATGTTGATCATAAGATGTATCTACATTAAAAAATAAGTAAAAGAGAGAATATTTAAAAAGAAGTAAATCAAACCACAAAATAACTATGAAGAAGAAATCAAACCACACAATAACTATTGTGTGAAAATAACTTGTCTGATGGTTACAAAATAAATTTAAACTAGTAATTACAAAAGCAAGAGCAGAATTTGGAATCAGGATTATTTTCTATAGGATCAAGTGATCACGACTATGTAAAGAGCTTAACACAGTGCCTATACTTGATTATAATGCAACTGTTCAATTTTCAACTGTTCAAAGAAAATTGTTCAATTTTTTCTTTTTCTTTTTTTTTTTTTTGCACTGAACTAAGCCATATCTGCTTGGACCTTGTTTTTACTATTATTATTATGCTTGAAGTTCTGGTGTACCTGTGCAGAATGTGCAAGTTTGTTACATAGGTATACACGTGCCATGGTGGTTTGCTGTACCCATCAACGTGTCATGTACATTAGGTATATCTCCTAATGCTATCCCTCCCCTAGCTCCCCACCCCTCAAGAAGCCCTGGTGTATGATATTCCCTTCCCTGTGTCCATGTGTTCTCATTGTTCAACTCCCACTTATGAGTGAGAACATGCAGTGTTTGGTTTTCTGTTCTTGTGTTAGTTTGCTGAGAATGATGGTTTCCAGCTTCATCCGTGTTCCTGCAAAGGACATGAACTCATCCTTTTTTTATGGCTCCATGGTATTCCATGGTGTATATGTGCCACATTTTCTCTATCCAGTCTATCATTGGTGGGCATTTGGGTTGGTTCCAAGTCTTTGCTATTGTGAACAGTGCCACAATTAACGTACGTGTGCATGTGTCTTTACAGTAGAATGATTTATAATCCTTTGGGTATATACCCAGTAATGGGATCACTGGATCAAATAGTATTTCTAGTTCTAGATCCTTGAGGAATCATCACACTGTCTTCCCCAATGGTTGAACTAATTTACACTCCCACCAACGGTGTAAAAGTGTTCCTATTTCTCCGCATCCTCTCTAGCATCTGTTGTTTCCTGACTTTTTAATGATTGCCATTCTAACTGGCATGAGATGGTATCTCATTGTGGTTTTGATTTGCGTTTCTCTAATGACCAGTGATGATGAGCTTTTATTCATATGTTTGTTGGCGGCATAAAATGTCTTCTTTTGAGAAGTGTCTTTTCATATCCTTTGCCTACTTTACAATGAGGTTGTTTGTTTTTATCTTATCAATTTAAGCTCTTTGTAGTTCTGGATATTAGCCCTTTGTCAGATGGGTAGATTGCAAAAATTTTCTCCCATTCTGTAGGTTGCCTGTTCACTCTGATGATAGTTTCTTTTGCTGTGCAGAAGCTCTTTAGTTTAATTAGATCTCATTTGACAATTTTGGCATTTGTTGCAATTGCTTTTGGTGTTTTAGTCATGAAGTCTTTGTCCATGCCTATATCCTGAATGGTATTGCCCAGGTTTTCTTCTAGGGTTTTTATGGTTTTAGGCCTTACCTTTAAGTCTTTAATCCATCTTGAGTCAATTTTTGTATAAGGTGTAAGGAAGGGATGCAGTTTCAGCTTTCTGCGTATGGTTTGCTAGTGTTCCCAACACCAGTTATTAAAGAGGGAATCCTTTCCCCATCTCTTATTTTTCTCAGGTTTGTCAAAGACCAGATGGTTGTAGGTGTGTGGTGTTATTTCTGAGGCCTCTGTTCTGTTCCACTGGTCTATATATCTGTTTTGGTACCAGCACCATGCTGTTTTGGTTACTGTAGAGCAGTCTGAGGTTGACCTGAGATGCTCAAGCTTGGTGGGAGGAGGGGCCTCCACCATTGCTAAAGCTTGAGTAGTCGGTTTCACCCTCACAGTGTAAACAAAGCCCCGCTGCAGCTCAGCAGGGCTACTCAAACTGCCTCTCTAGATTCCTCCTCTCTGGGCAGGGCATCTCTGAAAAAAGGCAGCAGCCCCAGTCAGGGAGTTATAGATGAAACCCCCATCTCCCTGGGACAGAGCACCTGGGGGAAGGGGCAGCTGTGGGCATAGCTTCAGCACATTTAAACGTCCCTGCCTGACAGCTCTGAAGAGAGCAGTGGTTCTCCCAGCACAGAGTTCGAGCTCTGATAAGGGACAGACTGCCTCCTCAAGTGGGTCCCTGATACCCCCCTGCCCCGTGCTCCCCTTGTATCCTGACTGGCAGACACCTCCCAGTAGGGTCCTACAGACACCTCATACAGGGGAGCTCTGGCTGGCATCTGGCGGTGCCCCTCTGGGACAAAGCTTCCAGAGGAAGAAACAGGCAGCAATCTTTGCTGTTCTGCACCCTCCACTGGTGATACCCAGGCAAACAGGGTTTGGAATGGACCTCCAGCAAACTCCAGCAGTCCTGCAGCAGAGGGATCTCACTGGTAGAAGGAAAGCTAACAAACGGAAAGGAATAGTATCAACATCAATTTTCTAATTTAAAAAAAGTATCAGTAAGTATTCTTAAATCATACATTGCTCAGGTAAAATAAAGGAGATGAATATAGCAATGGTGCTAGATTTGAATTTTTTAAAAAAAATTTGGAGTAAAACCTAGTAATACTCTTTTTAACAATAGAAAAACTTTGTCCAAGATTTTTAATTGTCTTCAAATATGAACCCCAAACATTTAGAAAAGGTATGTCCTCAACTGGTAATTGGCTACATCACATATTTTAAGAAATGGAGAAATGAAGGGGAAATAAAGGAAAAGTTAGTAGATGATGTATTATAGGAGTCAACAAGATAAGTGAAAAGGGAAAGGGCCTTGCATTACTTAAGCAAAAGTAAAAAGCAGGTATCTATAATTCATGAGATTTAGTGGGCAATATGAAGACTTTATTTTATACCCCCTATAGGCAATTTAAAATCTGTATAACTATATAAAGAAAGATAATTGTGTATATGGGCTAAAGAATCTGAATGAACATAATTTCTTTTTCTACTCTCAGTTATAGTACTAAACTTTTAAATGAAACTAAAATATTTAAATTAGCAGAAAAGTAACCTTAAAATGTGGTTTGAGATTCACTTACTCTTTTTCCCAGCCCACTTCTCTAACAATATTACGTATAAGTAATAAATAAAATTTTTAAACATGTTTTCACAGTTTTTGACAGCAACTTTCTCAGAATAGCTTGCCTTTAGACTAATAAATACATAATCCTGTATTCCCATAATCCCATACCTAACTGAACACCTACTTTATACAGAACGAATTGTTCAGGCTAAAGAATAATATCACTGACAGAGAGATCCTTATCTTCATGATTCAAGAAAGGAGAATTCTCTGACGGCTTGTAGGCGCGACAGCAGCTAAGAAAGATGATCAAAGCAATTAAGAAAGCAAAGCGTTATACAGTGGAAATAAAAAGTAAAATATAAAAATAGCGGTCTGTAATAATAGACTCTCTGGGAAGGCTTACTGCAGGAGATCAGTTTTGAGCCAGACATTAAAAAATTATCACCACCTTTTTCAAACAGTTCTCAAAAATTATTTTAGGAAGAAGAATAGTTCAGTCACATTAATTTCAATCATTTTCTAAGACTATCAAAAGCAAAGGATGACATTTGTTCATGTGAGTATAACATTTTATCTATGTCCATGCTATTAACACTAGCTACTAACTACAAAGCCAACCTCTAATGTTTACATCCAGATTTTAAAATCTTGTCCTGTAAACCAGAGATAGATTTGAGTACTTTTTTGAGGAAATTTGTATTCATATAACCAACTTTGAATATCTTGACTGCCTGTATAAAATGAGATATCAAAAAAGAAACCTAGGCAATTTTTATGGGAATGCATTAGACCTTAATTCAACTCTGTTTCATTTAAAACAACAGCAGTATAAAAACTAGTTGATAAATATGATCTCATTACTCTGGGGGAATTTCAATAATGTAGTAAAATTGACATAAAATTTATTGGAGAAAAGAAACATGCAAGTTCATCAATGATAGGGAGACTACATGCAAGTAGTGTTGTATGGTCTTTCACCAGGTAAATTATATAACTTAAGAGCAAATATTTTAAATGAAAAATACATATATCAAGAAACAGATGCAAATATTCAATTCAAGGACATAGTACAGGTACCAAACCTAAGGGGTGGTTCTGAAATATAAAGTACGTTATTTTGAATGGAAAGTTCTAAGATTTAACCAGAGACCCAAAAGCATACTGAATTCAAGATGATAACTGGGATAGAGGTAGAGCACAAGGAGGCAGGAACTAGCGCCAAAGCCATACAGATAAGATGTTGGTGTTAGTAAGGAGGCAGAGTCTTAAACTGCTAATTCATGTGGCAATCCAATGACAAGAAAATGCCAGCAGTAGATTTTAAGGTGGGTCGCGATCATGACTCGGGAATCACCGTAATAAGTTCGCTAATGGAGGGCCACTGTTACATTCTTCTTGCTATGGTTATATGGAGCAGGAGGGAGCCACATCATTCAAACCATCTCTGTGCGGGGGCCCTTGCTTATCACGGCTGCCTATCGTGAGACCAGAGCCTACTGCGGTAGCAGTCCTCAGCAGGAAGTCCGTGAATACCGAACAGTGACAGTTATTTCTCCAGATGAAGGAAATATTAAAAATCATTTCTTCTTTCTAGAAGTAACCTTAAAATGAGAGTGCCGAAAGAATGCTCAGGCAGATGAGTTGTATTTCTTAAAAATCTGTAAAATCCTCTTCCAGCCTTTCTTTTTTTTTTTTGTGGTTCATCTCTTATTCTTCATGATTTTTTTTTTTTTTTTAATTTTCAAACTTCTCAGGAGTGAAAATATAGATGGAAATGCTGTGAAACAGTAGAAATTGTTCAAGTTTTAGGACTTGGATTTGTTAACATGAAAATAGTAACACAACTTGCTTTTGTTGGGTCATGTGACATTCCATTCATTGGGATATAAATTTATTTTCCTCCCTTATGAAATGGTAGAAATGTTAGTATTAATTTATTTAAGCAGGTATGCCTTGAAAAAATGGTGCTAGGCTACTGCATCAGTTTGCATAAAAAGGACAAATAATTGGCCAATACAGTATATGCTGTTTCTCTATCCTGTTCCAGACTTATCATAACATGCTGAAATATGAAACAATAAGGAAAAGGGCAGAAGGAAGGGTAGAATATATGGTCTGCATACATCCTAAAACATTTCCTTAAAGTAGTAATTTTGCCTGAGAAGAATATGTTAAAATGCAAGCCAACGACACAGAGTATATTTTCCACTCTTACTCCCTCCTCAAAGGCTGAGATGGCATCATGCAATTCTCACTCTACATTTCTTAGAGCTTTTGAACCTGAATGATCCCGATTTCTACTCTGGACTTCAGGTTTATGAGTTAGCAGAAAGACATCCCCTCTAGCAACAGTTCCAAAGGATATAATTACAAATATAGCATAAGACCCTCAGCTTTCAAGACTTTTAACATTGTTGTTGTTTTTAGAAAGTAATTGGTTTTGCTTTTGCTTTTTATCCCCCTCCCAATGCTCAGTGCAATCTATACTGCCTGCAAGCCAGACTTTAAATGAAGCAGATGCTCCAAGTTTAAACTTCGAGCTGATAGTAAAGTTGTTTCCTAGCAACACGAAGTTATGAAAACTTCAAGAGTGCCACTTGCTCAATACAGTTTGTCTCATTTAGTTTCATGCACTCAGTGGGTTATTATAATGTACTGAGTACCAAATCAAAATGAACTTGATCCTACATTAAAAGGAATGAAAAACCACTCCATTGATTTTGAACTAGTGACCTTTTCAAAATTCGGGCATACAAAATAAAACTTTATACGATACTTTAAAAGAAGATTTTTCAAAATGAAATTTGAAAAGGATGTTATAGACTGGTGATAAGCTTAGGCCATAAATCTATCCAAGCAGATAGGTTGTTTTAAAACACCTAGACTTTCTGAAGATCAGGCTAACCTGACCTAGGCAGAGGAAATGGTGTGTAATTAAAATGCCTTATAGTAGGGGTTCTCAAATATTTTGGTCTCAGAACCCCTTTGCTTTCTTAAAAAGTGTTAGACTGTCAAAGTACTGCTATTTTATATGAGTTATGTATGTCAACATTTCATTAAAATTAAACTTAGAAATTTTTTGTCTTGTTATTTATTTAAAAATAAACACATTATGTCTTAAAATAATGTATATTTTAGAAACAGTTTTATTTTCAAAAACAAAAATAATTTAGTGAGATGAATGGCAATGTTTTACAGTTTTACAAGTCTCTTTTAATGCCTGGTTGAATAGAAGACAGTATGATTCTTAAATTTTTTTTTCAGCCTTTACTTGGTTGTGATATCACACATCACTTAGCCTCTAGAAAATTCTACTGTGTTATCTTTAGAAAATGAGTGGAAAAAAGGCAATTTTTCCAGTTCCTCTTTCACTTTCTCTTCTGTAATTAATTTGGGCCACTTTTGAGAACTGTTGGCAGTAAGCATGTTTCTTCAGTGTGTAACAGGATTTAAATGATTTCCTTTCTCATAGTCATTAACATTAGGCAGTATGGTAAAGTGATTTCATTTCTGACACTTAAAAGTCAGTTTGCCTGAGTTTGATTCTATTTTGACAGCTTGTAACTCTATAACCTTGAGTAAGTCACTCTAAGTCTCACTTGTATCATTTATAAAATGGGCTAATAGCAACACTAGCCCCACAGTGCTATAACAGAAGTAGGTAGGAAATAGACAACACAGCAGATTTTTTTTTTCTCAAAACAATAACCACCCAATGATTATTGACTGTATCTCTGATTTTAAGACTGTTCAAAACTATCATTAAGACTAAAACAAATATCTCAATAAGACACGCAGATAACCACCACTTTCACTCTACCTCATTCTTAAAAAGAGGAAATATCGTGAACTTGTGATTACCAGAGGCTAATACACGTTTTTGCATTGAGAGTTGAAGTTTGATTTACTTCTTAATATCAAGGAAGAAGTATCTGACATGATGTTTGAATTCATTTGTATTTGCTTCTTTTCTAACAAAATATCTTTTAATATCATCTGGTAGAGAGAGGAATGAAGATGTGAGACTTTGCTTAAAGAAATAGTGAAAGTGAATATTAATGCAATTTGAAACTAGCACAGAAATATGCATTTAGTTTTGATAAATGATTTCTGGTTGGTAGATTTATACTTGCTTCAACTTTTATTCTGGTTTATATAGTGGCCAAAAATAAGCAATTATTATGGGCTTGAATCATACACTCACACTGGGTAAATTCCAACCACGTCATCAACTGTATATTCTTTTACAGTCACTGCAGGACTGATCACATTTGCAACATGAATATTATCTTTCATTTCATAATTTCAAAACACTCAGTACTACCTTGGTTCTCACAGCAATTTATAGCCAGATATGTGGTAAACAGTGTTTCCTTTTACCTTGGGAACTAGCTTAAGAGAGTAAATGAACTGAGATTGCATGAGGTCTTGCAAAGAGCCGATGGGGGAGTCCTGAACTCTACAATAAATGCCATTTCCCTCAAAGGAGAATAAATAGATGTTCTTGAAAATCAGATCTTTAAAACAGAGTCTTATATGTTTTTGGACTTTAGACATTGGTAAAATATAAAATGATATTCAAAAATGAGTTTAACAATTTAGCAACAATCATAGTCCATTCATATTAGGCATTTTAAAAATGTGCTACGGCTTGTTATACCAAATCAGTTTTGATAGCCTTTGTTAGATAAATTAGTGGTTAGTGGGAAGTTTGAGAGCTGGGAGATTTAGTGCATTTGGGAATAATATAAAGAAGTCTTAGGATGTCTGAGTACTGTGTTTGAGTGGTAATGGTTTAATTTTCTGCCCCACTGTGGTGGCTTTTTTATGACATTAAAGTGAAGAAGCAGAAAAACAAAAGATCATTGGGCATCATCTCACTTGTCTTTTTCCTGAGGGAAATGAGTTGAAATAGGGTGCTTTTCTTTAGCAAAGCATATTAGATTTAGCAGGCCTGTGTTCAAATTCTAGTAGCCAGCTTACAGAACAAGTGTTCTAAAATGCATTTCTGAACTTCTCTCAATTTCATATTCCTGTGTAACAGGATGATAAGCATAACTACCCTGTAGTCCAATTTCAAGAATCGAAGGGGTTAACATATATAATAGAGTCACCCAGTTCTCAAAAGAAACAATTCCTTCCCACATTCCCTTCCTTGCTTTTATTTTTTTTTTCACTTTCTTTACTACAGGTTATATCTTTTGCCTATTCTTGGTGTCTGTCCTTTACTACAGATACCAGTAGCAGTCATATTTTATATACCACTTTCTTTTGCCGTACATTTAAAAAATAAAATGTTGAAACTGAAACTTGTTGAATTAAGCTATAATTTTATTATTACGTGTGTGTGTGTGTGTGTGCGTGCGCGCGTTTGTGTGTTTTAAACCCATTGCTCAACTGTTTTGGTTAAGTTAAAGTAAGTACAAAATGTTTTCAGATATCAGCAATAGAATTATTACCATTTGAGGAATAAGGTATTATCCCAAGATGACATATCGAAGACCTCAGATAAGAACACTGAGACATTTATTAGCTTCTTTAAAGTCACAAAGCTAAGTGTCAAAGTAAGATTCAAAATGAATTCATTTGGTTTCAGTCTGGGCAGTTAACCATGCTTTTGGTTAGATATAAGCATATTTTGCTTTTGCTTGAATAGCTGTCTCCAAAAGATCAGAAAAGCTAAAATACATTTGACATGCTCTTAATTTTACTGTGAGGAATACATGATCAAGAACTGGTCTCAGTTTAATCAAAATCATACAATAAACCACATTTTGGGACATGTACTAATGTCTCATAGGTAAAGTTGTGCTATAGTAAGATATGAGTTTTCACTCACAGGACTAATCATCCCTGATGTCAGCCCATCCTGGGAAGAACTGCAGAATCAGGGACTCAAATCAGGAACATGAAAGATGTGCCACACACTAAGCCCACGAAGGAGGGTCTTCTCTCTGGGCTTTTCTCTCTGTGATTTCCTTTTTCTGGAGCTTGGCCCATAACTCTCTAGATGTGGTGGAAACATGCCACAGCCTAATGGAATCAGGCTAAAAGCTCTGAAGAAATGGAACTGAAGCAGGATATTTTTCCATCACTTTCATAGGACTCATGACAGGGGTGCCTCATTTACCCATCCTGCAGTTTTCAATTCCTAGTAAGAGGGAGCATGCAAGCGTATAAGGCGGGAACTGGAATGCATGAACCCTGGAACCAGCTGGCTGCTTCAGCACTGGCAGGATTGAGCTCCACTCACTCAGACCTGCAGCAGTCCACCCCTTGTGGGATGGAGTGCATAGGTGAGCAGGTGCAGGAGTCAGGGTGAGTGCTTCTGGGTGCTGGCAGGAGCAAACACTGTGCAGGCCTCACGGCAGCATCTGCGGAGGTGCATGCGATCCCTGAAGTCCCAGAGGGAGAGTGTTACAGTGCTCTTTTAGCTCTTCCATCTGAAGATGGCTTAAGGGTGAACAGCTCAGTGGGCCTTCTGCGTTTTCACATCAGGCGGCTGCCCTCTGCCAGTGAGGGTGAAAGGCCAGTGTGACAGCCTTTTGTGTTTGTACTCATGGCACCCGAACTTTTGTCTGGCATCCAGGAGAAATAAGGTTGCACAAATAAATTAAAAGATGGTAAAGGTGGGGGATTTTATTGCCAATGATAGTGGCTTTTAGTGGGAAGAGGAGCTGAAGAAGGGATAGGATGGAAGGTAATCTGCCCCTGAAGTTCAGCCATCTCCAGCTGGATTCTTCTCCAAAGTTAGCCCTCAAGCTGTTCCTCTAAGGT